TTGTTTGATTTTGTTTAACGTCCTATTAACAGCTAAGGTCATTTAAGGACGGCCTCCCCTGTGTGCAAGATGCATGCGTGTAGTGTATGTGTGTGTATTTTGGGAGGGTCCTGCTGGGTGTCTTCGGCAGTATGTCTCAGTGAGGTAGCACTATAAAGTCGGCATCAGTTCCGCGCTATCACAAGGAGACAAACACGAACATATCGCAGCCTCCCAAAATACACACACATACACTACACGCATGCATCTTGCACACAGGGGAGGCCGTCTTTAAATGACCTTAGCTGTTAATAGGACGTTAAACAAAAACAAACAAACAAACAAATGTTTATATAGATCTATTGTTTGATTTCTATAGGCTAGTGTTCGAAGACAATACATCAACGGGAATGTATCACGTATCATTGATAAAACCCTGTGATACATTAGAACGTGGTCCCTGAAGAAAAAAACTAGCGTATAAGATAATGTGTTAAATATAGAACCAGTACTGACTGCCTGAGAATAAACAATAGGGTCAATGACCTTGTTGGGTACACCTGTGGTGGAAAAGGAATGCGGTCATTGGGGAAAATCCCGGTCCCCTACATAGTGTGACCTCCAGAGGTGACGGTTTAGATTAACCTGATCTTGTAGATTTGATATTTATTTTTTGTTAGAATTCAAAATTAAAACCGTTGACCAATCAGTTCATATTGTTATTATTGCTATGGTGATATAAATATGTACAATACTATCAATTACCAAATGTCCATTTTAAAAGCATTTGTATAAAGTATATGTTGTTACGTTCACTAACATCACTGAAAATACAAAAGAAAGCAATCTATGGTGAATTCAATTTGACCTAAACTATAGCCTAAACCAAGAGATCCTAGAAGGATCCTGACACCTACAAAAGATGGATCGTTTACCTTCTCTTCATTTTCATTAACAAGTTCAATATTCAAACAAATTTTATTAAAAAAATAGAAATAGGAAAAACGGTGACCTTCATGACCTTGACATTTGATTTAAAAATCCATTCATTACTCTTCTCAGAAAGCTGCGAACAAGCTAATGCTGTATATCAGTTCTTAAAATAATAACATCGACCTTCATGACCTTGAAATTTGACCGATCTCGAGAACTTCCAATTACAATATATTATTATATATTAATACTGAGTAATTCATTTCTTGCAGGTTGCTGGAGAGGCTCAAATTCAGCGAACAAGGCAGTATTTCTGCGGAAGAATTGTATGCACAGTATCAGTATGAGTGTACAGAAGGTGGGAGGTATGAGACATGATCCCAAAACAAACTTGTGAAATCCCTTTATCCAAATATAGGTATTGGAAGGCCAAGAAATGGTTTGGATGGATCTCAGATCAGGACTTATCAGGCTATTGAGTTAAAACGACTTAATGACACCACAATCTCAAGCTTTCACAGTTGCTATCATCTTAACAAACTTGCCTCCTTATGCAAAACCAGTCAAACAGGAACCTCACAGCATAGCATACTTGTGTACATAAACAGTGGCTAACAGAAACACTAAACAAAAGGAAATACTATTTCAAGAGAGAGAATGGAGTTTATGTATATCTGGGTCTTCTGTAAACCTAGAATCCTTGGATATACAAAGGAAGATGTCCATACAGTATGTGACATAGTTACCAAACTAAAACTGTGCATAGGAGATGGAAATCGATAAAAAAAAGCAAAGGGGAACCAGATAACAGAGCTAATAACAAAGGAGGGAGATGAAAATTTTCATCAGAAATGCATAACATCTTCTGGGTGCAAAAAAGTTGTGTCATTTGTAAATAAAATTCAGTGTTGCCGAGTTCGCCGTCTAGTTACTTTCAGAAATTACAATATCTAACCACAATCAGCGATAAATGATGCCAGTGTGCCTGCAAAAATTAGTGAAGAGCAAGTAAAAAGTTTAATACCACATGCGTATTATGGTAGACTTGATATACAGTCAGTTCCCAAATATGAGCAAAGCAGAAGCAAGGAGTCAATTCAACACAAAAATATCAAACTCAAAGTACTCATTCAGCAGCCAACTGCTAACTCTATTGTTATGTACATATATGGGGCAAAGAAGTAATTCGAACAGTTATGTATATATACTTCTCAATACCACAACTGCTGTCAAGTTATTGTCTTTTAGAACACATAAAATCAGTGTCTAATAGTTGTGCATTTTATCGTCCTCAGACTATACAGATACATCGTTACTCGGTGGATATGGCATCGCCTTTGGAAAAGGAATCGAAAGGTGATCCCTGCATGTGCTGTTGTCAAGATACGGGCAACATATCCATCGGAGGAGTACTGTGGTTTTAAGTATGTCAGGCCATAGTTGAACTTGTGGCATCAGAGATCCTTGGACTCGCACAATTTCGGGCAATGAACCTTGACCTATGTCTTTCAATCAATTCACTCTTGTTCACATGGAGTCTGTAAGAGGTGGATGAATCTGTCCAAAACTTTCCCTTCCATCAACAATGACAGTGGTGTAGTTTGGCAGATCCATTCGCCTGTCTATTCAAGCATGGATAAAAAGCCACATAATAACCCGATTGACATTTGAATAGAACTGACTATGATTTACCTATTGTTAAAAGCTGTCTACCATAACATGAGAATGCTTGACATATTTCATTGTTTCTTATTTTTGCTTATGGTAATGTTACCGATAAAAAAACATTGATATTTTTTTGGATCTGTCCAATATTTTCTCCACCGATAAAAATTGTACACCTCTGTTATTCTTGAGCAACTCTTAAAAACTAGCTAGAATTTCCCTTACAAAACAGTTCTGCATCTGATAAATACTTCAGCTTTTACATCGGAAAATGACACTACCTGGGTACTCACCATATGTTGGTCGAGTCTTGCATGGTTTTACAACCACTTTTTTTCCTTTCTCGTCCTTGGGATAGGAAAGGCTGCAAGGTGCAATCTGCAAAACAAAGAATAAAACCTGTTTTAGTGACACAAGAAATTGTGATATTTTCAATCATACAGCCAGTGCAACCTGTATAGTCGGACATCCTGTGGAACACAAATATAAATATTTTTTTGTCCACAAACTGTCAATACCACCAACACATGTACACGAAAAATGAAATATTGGTCAGAGTACCTGTCTGATCTGACAGGACATATCACGAAAACTCGCTCTTTCCAACTTATGTGATCTACGGAGTTCTCTCCCCTCTCAAACAGCATGGGAAACAAAATAATGGCGTCCCGCAGCCGTCGCATCACCAGACCAAACGGTGAAATAGTCGGATCATATGAGTAAGTACAGTGTAAGTATAGTGTCTTTGTGTTTAATAAACTATTACTGAGACACGAAGTATGTATAATGTATGCTACATCAGTTGAAAGCCCTATAAATTGCAATGGAAATGTTGAAAGTATGCTGCATCCGGTGTTGTGGGAAAAAACTACCTAAGAATGGCCCAACTTTGTGAACGATGTATCCTGTTATTGCGCCTCTGATTGATCTTTGAGTAACAATGAATCATCTTGGTTATTCAAAACTGACAGTTCATTCGTCGTCTTCAAATTGTCACTATACAGGGCTTTTTTTGAGGCCTTTTTGGGACCGATCATGGGCCCCATTCCCAATGGAAATTATTTAAAATTTTAGACAATTTCCCAAAATTTGTAGTTTACACCTGAAAATTTCTTTCCCAAAACATCTATTTTCTTCCCAAAATAGAGTGAAAAGGCCCCTTCCCAAATTGGTCAGAAAAAGCCCTGCTATAGGCTGGTATGCAGACTGATATGACCAGGATTATGATAATCCTAATGTGCGCTGGTCTGGCCGCCACTCAAAACTGAAATGACCCTTCCTATTTTAAATTTGAATTTCATATAGGCCCTAATTACCTATGTATTAACTTCTTATTGAGTAATTCTTTATTATTAATAAGCAAAATTCATGTAAGGAATTCCAATACAAACACTGTAATTTGTTGTTTTTTCCTCTAGCTGTAATATTTTAAGCCAACTACATGTAGACTACTGTTGCAAAATTTACAATTGAGCTGACAGCAGAGGATATTTTTCCTACAGTCAGAATAAAATCTCTGTATCTGAATAGTGTTGAACATATGATATTGCCGTCACTTGGGTTCAAACCCATGACCATTGGCTCTCCAGCCAGCCCACACCCCTTTTTTTCTAAATGTGTAAGGATGAACACAACAACCAAGGCTCTAACTTTGCTGTCATCACAGGGAGGGCCACAGACACTACTGATATTTGTACAAGAAAGAGAGAATTAGGTGTGCTCCCATTGGGGATTGAACCCTTGATCATCAAGTTCCTGGCCTGCCACTTTACTGCAGTGCTAAATGGAAATTCTCTTTACCTCAGTGGTAGTGAATCAGAATGGAGAGCCAATGGTCATGGGTTCAAACCCCAGCACTATCTTTATTCCTCTTCCTACTACATCACAAACACAGCTGTAACATTAACATGACCTTCAAAACAAAAGCTGATATTATTAAACTAGGTCTCATATGCTTTGTTCTTAATTTGTATATATATATATATGTCTTTTAGTATACAGATGTTTTCTAATTATATATTGTCTTAATTCCAGTGAGTTAAACAGCACACATTTGCCCCGATCAAGCCATGTCAGAAAAACAAAAGAAACCTGGAGTGCTGGTCTGTATCCAGTAGAGGTGATAGATGAGGGCGAAGAAGGATATGTGAAAGTCCATTACTTGGGTAGGTGTTCAGACTGTTCACCACTGTTCAGTTCATGCTAAAATTGTACTTGTACAGGCAGAATTACATTGAGATCAACAGTCAGTGTTTTGTCTGGGGCCATAACTTTAGCCCCATTTCATGTCTATGTGTTGAAATTGGCTTATTGCTTTACCTTGAAACCCCCAAAAAATACTAGCTGTGATGCAACTTTTATGAAAGGCAGTGTGCAGTGTACGAATCCAGGTCACTGTGTCATAAGTCAAGGTCATGTATGTCAAAGTATGTATTTCTTTATAAGTCCCTCACCAGGAAAAGGGGGACTAGTATAGTTTTACATTGTGTCCGGCTGCCCTACTGCTACATGTAACTTGTTCAGGCACTATCCCATACAATACAAGTCACTGGAACTTAATACTTAAGGTATATGTTCACCAAGGTGAGGCAGGTTGTCATGCTTCAAAAGTAGTTCACTCTGGCCTACATTTTGACCTATACAAAAGAAAAGGTTTGTCTATGTTCTATCTCATACACTAAAAGTCACACTGGAACTTCATACTTGTGGTTCAGCTTCATATTGGTGAGATGGCCACATTTGGTGGAAGACTGTAATTTGCTGCATTGTCTTGTTGATATATATTTTCTTATGGCTAAATTGGTCAGTATTGAGTAGGAATTAGTACAGCAAAATTGATGGTCACCAGTTATTAAAGGTCATTGAAGGCATAGTTTGTTGATCTTTACTTTTGATATATGGATTGGTATATAATGACCTTCATACAACCTCTTGTTGTTTATTTAATGTGATTTATTTACTGATATTCATATTTATTTCTGTGCTACCACCATAAACAGTGGAGATGGTACATCTTCATCTGATGGTATGAAGGAAAATGTCCATGTATCCTCTGGTCTGTACTATTTACCAGTAGAGAATATCAGTATTGTAATGTTTTTTTTTTTTCAGGATGGAACAGGAAGCATGATAAAAAGGTGCCAGCAGACCAAATTGTGAGGATTCCTCACCAGACTTCATCCTTTGCCCACCAGTTGGCAATAACTATCAAAGAAAATTTAACCCCTGGAAAGTGTGATAGCCTTGTAAAGGTAAAAGTCCCTGTTACAGAAGAAGAGTTTGGTCAAATCTCAAATAGTGGGACGCCCTACAAAATTACAAGAACAAAAACAGTGTTCAGAATCAGCAGCAGAAACCGCTTAAACATATTGCTTGGTGAAGGCTGGGATTATAGGATCCTGAATGAAGAGGGAGATAATTTTTATGTAAAGACAGCAACTGTAAAGTTCTATCTACATACCAGGAAACCACTGAATGATTTCCTTGTTTATCCTGACCACATTGAAAGGTATGCCCTGGATAGGGGCATGCAGCTGGTTTTTTCTTTTGTGAAAATGGCATCCAACAACAACAATCATCAAAAACTCTTGAATGCAAATGAACTTTAGTCATACAAAATGTATCCATATTTGATAATTAATAGATTTCAATGAGCTACAAAAACTTTTCAAAATCTTTGCACTAAACTTAACATATTTGCTGTAAGATTGTTAACTGTTTAGAAAGTAGATATGGTTGTTTTATCTAAATCAACTCTTTTTTCCTTATTAGAGGATCACTGGAAAGAACCCCTGACATTAGAAGTTGTACAAAAAATCAAAACTGAATTAGAAAATCAGCTAACACTTTCTTTTCAAGCAAATAACAAAGACCTTAATATTTTAAGGGCAGAGTTATATAGACTCAAAAAAAGTGGTCTCCGAGCCAAAGTGAAAGGTGGAAACCAGTTTCATCGGTTCAAAGATTCAATTAGTCAGTGCAAATTTTCCTGGCATGTGCCTTTAGGCCCCCATGAAACTGAAATGCAAATTGAAGAAATGAAAAACAAACTAAAAAAATGTGAAGAAGATAAAACTGTCATTGAAGAGAAGTTTTGTGACTTTGTCACTGATACCAGAAATAAAGAACAAAAAATGATTAACAAAATTGCCACTTTAGAAAATGCTTTAAAAAATAGTCAAAATAGTGAGAAAACTGTTCAGTGTCAAAGTGATCAGAAAGATTCTAATGGTAATACATGTAGTAGAAAAAGAAAACCTTTACAAGAATGTTCTGGTTCTTATCAGAGAAAGGTAAAGAAAATAGAAAATGAGAAATTTAAAAATGTTCTAGGAAACTTGGAACTCAGTGGTTGTAAACCAGTTAGTGTAACAGTGGTAAGAAATGGAAAAGAGGATGTTATTGATCTTTTCCAGGCAGATGAGAACAATGTTGAAAATGTAGATGAAACAGAGCTTGATCGAGTCAATACGTTGCTTTATATTTTAGATACATTCAATGTGTCACAGGAAGCCTATCATGAGTTGAGTTCATTGTTTAAAAGCATGCCTCGTGCTCATAGCATTACAGATTATATTAAAAACTTAAACAAGAATTTTAATATTAGGAATACACCAGATGGACTTGGTGCACAACAGTCATTAAAAGAAAGGCTGATTGATGTTGTAACTCAGTTAATGTTAGAAAACACTGATATGGTTCCTGGTAACAATTTGAAGGTGAAAATATCTGGTGATGGGACGAGAGTAGGGAAAAGATTACATGTTGTCAATTTTGCTTTCAATATTGTTAATGAAGGTTTAGCTCACCAGACATGTTATCCTTTATGCATTGTTCAAACAAAAGAAAAATATGCTGAACTTAAAATGGCTCTGAGTGATTTACAGCGTGAAGTGGCAGAGTTACAAGGAAGTAAGCTTAAGGTTGGAGATAGAGAATTTGCTGTAACAATCTACTTAGGTGGTGACTACAAATTTGTATTAGTTGCCGTCGGCATATCTTTTGTCGCAGCTACACATTCCTGCATTTACTGTAAATGTGACAAGAAGGAGAGGATAGATCTGAAGAAACAATGGTCAATGCAGGACCCAGCTCTTGGAGCAAGGTTATCATATACTTGTTCTGTGCCTGTGGATACAACAGCAAGTAATCTGTCCTCGAGGCAGAAAAAAAAATATTGCTACTCCATAGTGAACCAGCCTCTGTTTCCATCTATCACTCCTTTTCAAGTAGTCTTGGATCACTTACATCTCTTTCTAAGAATAACTGACAAACTTTTTAATCTGTTGGTTTCAGAGCTGAGAGCATTGGATAATATTTCACAGCAGACAACATTTGTTGAATTAGACAGAGAAAAAGTCAAACATGTATCTGCATTAGAGCATGTATTGCAGCAAATGGGCATTTCATTTGAACTGTTTATCAACAAGGAAACCAGAAAGTTGGAGTATAGAGACTTAACAGGTCCAGAGAAACAGACACTAATGGCCAAGTTTCAGGCTAGTGATCTCATTCCTGACAGTGATAGAGCCACCAAAATACAAGAATTATGGGATGCATTTTCAGAAATTAATGCACTTTTGAAATCTGCATTCCCAAACCCAGATGACATACAAACAAAATCTGAAAACTGGTGCAAAATGTTTGTTGCCTTGTATCAGAGTAGGGACATAACTCCCTACATACACACCCTTCGCTATCATGTCAGCGAGTTAATACAGCTTCATGGAAACTTGATAAGTTTTTCACAGCAGGGGCTTGAGAAAATGAATGATATAATTACTAAAAGTTACTTCAGAGCAACAAATCACAGAGGCCTTTCTGCCTTGAAACAAGTAATGGAAAAACAAAACAGACTTGTTCTCCTTGCAAAACACAAAAGGAAGAAGCGTGTGTACAAAGATCGCAAACACTAAAACTATTACATATACTTAAATAGACTATGTGTGAATAAATTGTGTCAGGGCCCGATACAAAAGACACTATATTTTTATGCCCCTGCCAATTATGTTGAACCTGATACGAATAAGTATGAACAATTTACTAAAACAGCTCGAAACGAGGATGAAAATACATAATTTTACTGTGTTTTCATGAAAGGTGTGATATTATGTATTAATTTGTTATTCCTTAATTAGCTTCTGTTCTTATACTTTTTTAATTGTTTTGTTTTTAATTTATTATTTACTTGAAATGAATCGGCACAGATAGTGCATGTCATCAATTGTTTTTGAATAAATCTTATTTTTTATTGAGATTTTGTTTTCTTTCATTTTCATGTTATGTTTTTAGCCCAATGTCATCATCATATGATCATGATGGGCTAATTAAATTGCCTTTTATCCGTGGTCTGTCTGTAACAATTCTTGTTATCGCTTGAATTTTGACAGTTGACGTTTGTTACTGCTATTTCTGTTAAAGTACTAAATGATTAAGAAGGAAAGAGATCAGTTTTTCATAGGATTGACATAGATGATTCAGTGGTGGGTGCCAAGATTCCTTTGAGATCTCGGTTAATAATACATATTAAATACATGTACAAATAATATTGCTATGTTTATATTATAAAGGAGAGTCCCTTTTATCAGTATTAATTGTTTACAAATTAAATCCATGCTGTTGGTTTCGTCTCTTTCCATTATTTCATGTACATGTAGCCCGGAACTAATTGGTAGGGGTAGTAAATCCTGTGTACACTAGTGAAGCGAAGAAGAGATTCTAACCAATAAATACGGTTCTATTTTTGGACTATAAATGGCGAAAGATGATTGGATGTTTACATGAATATCCCTTATACGTCATACCAAGTGTAATAATAGAATGGATGAAGGGTTTCCCTGAACGCGTCGTTCGTTGGCAGGTACCATCGGTTTACTCGAGATTTTGTCAATCAAAACAGCTCTGACTACAAGCGAGAAATTATAAAAATACGGTGTTAATAACAAATCAATGGAGATTTCATTACATAAATTGATTCAATACATCTAAGAAAATACATAACCAGTCGTAATAGCTAATGTTTTGTTTTATTTCTGCAACAGCAGCGGAAATCGGAACGAAATGCGTACGAATTATTGAGGATGGCAGGCTTTCAATTCAGAGACGGCGCTTATTTCAGGGGCGATTACTCGCTAAAAAGTCGCCTTTTCGTGATATGGCAAGTAAGCACTGGTCCTATTAGGTAGTTAAATAGAAACGGGATACAGTATTGAATTGAAATGCATGTTGTTGTAAACAGGATGTCAGACTACTGTTTGTTTGTTTGTTTGTTTATGTTTAACGGCCCATCGACGGCTGTGGTCATTTAGGGCCATGGTGATTTATTTTTCTATTTTATTTTTTTAACAAACATGTGAGTAGCGAAGATAAAATCAGATAAAATGGTTGATTTTAAAAGCATTCGCATTGTATGTGTAGATAATAAAAAAAGGGATTAAAATAATAAAAGATATTATACCAAATGTACCAAATACCAAAACCGGATACCAAATGTTGGCAGAAGTTTTTGGTTTTGCGTAAATATGTTTTGGTATTTGGGGTTGAATACTTGGTTGAAAGCAGGATTTTTAGGGTTTGATTTTAATTGAGCTGCAAATTGTAATGAAAGTTTTTTTCTTAGGTCATAAAGGGATGGTTCATTTGCTTCCACGTACAGGCTTTTTACAGGTGTTGTTCGAAAAACTGATGATAATGATGTGGAAGTTTCATACTCGGATGACAGTGGACAAGTTGATGATCATGATGATGAATGTACCCAAGAGCGAGGAAGATATGGAGGGGGAAGACAAAAAAGCTGATGATGAAAATGTGGAAGTTTCATTCTTGGATGACGGTGGACAAGATGATGACTATGTACCCGAGAGTGAGGAAGATATGGAGGGGGACGACACAAAAGCTGCCGATTAGAATGTGATGACTTTATATGGGAATGATGCGGATGCTTCTGTATCTGATGACTGATGACAACAGTGAAGATGAAAACAAGGATACCGTTTCATATTCTTATGATCCTGTAGATGATAGTCTTATTGAAATGGATGAAAAGAATCCGAAGATTTGTTTATGCAAAACGCTTTAATCAAAAGCTCTCCAACCGGAAGAAAAAAGGCTACAGAAAGAGTTCAGAACAACTACCACTGTTGTTTTTTTATGTAAAAGACTATCGACAAGTATTGTTAAAAATTTGCTTACCCATGATACAAAAAATGGGGAACACAAAGCTAATGCACGAGCCATGCGGACCATATTAAGAACAAAGGGGACCATGAACATAACATGTTGGCGGAGAACTTATCATAGCCAGGAAAAGTTGCCGTTTTAATTTGGAGGACTATGGACCAAATGCTTGTAGTGGATCAAGCTGGAAAGCTACTGTACCAATCGGTATGTCAAGCAGTCAGTAAAGCTGGAAATCTTTGCTGTGAATCGGGAACGGCGGCTTCATTTTAGTCAAACAAAACTTCATTGGACAGTTATAATAATTGGTCAAATATCATATTTATTGATGAAACAAAAATAGAAATCAGGACTGACAGAAAGGTGTAGTTATGGAGAAAAACTTATAAGCAGTTACTGTGTCAGGGGGTTAGGCCCAACAGTGCTCGAACTG